GTAAATTATCATTTAGCTCAGTTTCAGATCATTAGATATTCTAATATGTAACACTCTCCAGTGCTCTCGTGCCGCAGCTTCGCTCACACAGGAACTAGAACTTATTTGGCAGAGACATAAAAGGTTTTTATACTGCTATTTTCTTTAAACAAACAAAACATAATGTACCGTTCTGAGAACGGGAACGCTCAAGAAATCTACGTGTTTGTGAATAAAAACAAGCATTAATTACATGTGAAAAAATGTTCAGGTCGTTTCAATGGCATAACCTCTCATCAGTACAAAACAGTAAAAATTCAAGGCGAAAGAAAAATATAAGGTGAACAAGAATATCACTTTTCATTAATAAATGATACACTGAGTTTTCGTGGATGAAAAACTACATTTATTTCAAAATATTAGAAAGTTGTAAAATATGATAATTTTAATTCTACGTCATAAAGAATGTACCGCTACGACTGCAGAAGTAATATCAATATTGTTATATAAACAGATGTTTTGTCTGTTGAATGTTTAAGAAAAAATACTTGCTTTACTGGAAAAAAGAGAATATAGAAGCATATTTAAAGTTTCTGTGTTTTTTTATATTTTCTACGTTTTTAATAGAAATTGGAAAAATAGTTGTAAAGAGAAGATAAAAATAAATTAATGGTTTATAGTATTTATGTTTCTTTCCTCGTATTATTGCTGATGTTAAAAACAGGATAGTTGGGAATCAGTTGTTAATTTTAATTAAAAAGACCTTTCACTTAAATAAATGTGAAGACGACTACAATAACTATGTCCTGCCATAGTGACAGTATAGACTAAATTAAAATAGAAAAACAAATATATTGGTGAAAACAAAAATATAATGGTTTGACGAAAAAAAAAAGATTATTAATATTTTCTTTGATTTATTAAAACTTAGACTCTACTTCTGATTTTTCCTTTACCAAGATCTGAGCTTCGTCACAAACTTTACCTTTTTGTTGATTTATTTGAGAAAGTAACGGTTGGTCTTCATCGTCACTTGTCTTGTTTCCTTTTGAAGTACAACTCTGGCGCTGTCTTTTAGCCCATTGGTGAAGGGGCGACATGTAGGGTTCTTTGCACTCGTCATAGTGCTTCAGTAACTCAAGGGTTACCTTTCCATCTACCTGTTCTATTCCAAAGGGAAGGTCAGCTAACGGTGCAATAGATATTTCGTCCCAGTCTTTCTTAATACGGTCTTTCTTCTCGAAAAACAAGCTAACGTTTTTCTTCGCTTTGTTTACAGTTTTCTCCTAAAAGAAGAGATATCAAATGTAATAATATCACACAAGTCTGTACATCCTCATCATTATCACTATCTAAAGTAATCTGGGTTCTCACGAAAAATATAAAAAATGTTCCACAGAAGATATCAATTAGACTACATATTTTCAATATGTAAAACATCAAAACAAGATCTCAGTAGATGCAAATCGGCTGCTATTTATTTTTAACTTTCTTCGATGAGTAAGTCAGAAATTTAGTTTAAAGACGAAAGATGTACAGTTTTTTATATTCATTTATTGATGAATACATCGACTTTCAGTATTACTTGATTACATATGTGATAAACCACTGTAATAATAATGAAAATTAATTTAAAATAAATACAACCTTACACTTTAAAAAAGATATTGTACAATTAATTATATAAATGTATAATAACGTTATTCTATAGACACATACTACTCAAAATATATCTACAGTCACAATATACGTATAACTCCGAAACAGACAATCAATGAGCTGTTTATGAACGTCACTTTTTAAACTTCTCCATGGAATACAGAAAAACATCTAGCATTGTTAGTGAAGTTCGTAATGGCTTCATCAAAACCAAAGGTGCAACATGAACAAATAAACCCCCTTTACTGTGCATTAACATAAAGTTTTATATGATGTGGTCAGAGAATAATTCAGTATAATTAGTAGAGTTCGTAATAATATTGTGTTATAGCTTAATAGGTTTCTCAAAAGAATCAGCTAGTCAAACAAAAGACACAAAAGAATGATTCTTTGAGTACGTTTATGAATCTAACTTTCTTTGATGGAGGCATAACAAGAATTAACATAAAACTGATTTAATCTATATGTTGTATTCCTTCGCAGAAAGCCTGAAGAGCTTCGATAAGCTCTTACAAACCCCATTGATTACCTGTTTTATATACAGCATTGCTGCTTCTAATGCTTCCTGATGAAAAGCTTCCAGAATTAATGATATATACTATTTGTTTTGTAATGTATTTTTATGGATGAGTCGAGAGATACAGAGATGATGTTAATTTTATTTTTTTCACTTTTAGCACCTCAACTACAAATGTGCAAATTATTAGTAGGAAAATGAACGAAAAGCTAGAATCCGTATATGAAGTAAGCGACAAGATCAATACAACAATACTTTCTTGGCGTATTTATTCACGATTAATTTAATAATCTAATATTACTACAACCAATGTTTTAAAAATTAACGTAATACTAAAATGCAGTTTAATGTAACTCATATACTTCTGTCTCATGTCTAAGTATTTGTACATAAAAGTTATACCTTCATTACATTATCAAATATGTCTTCTTCAGTCTCTCTGTACATATCAATATACCGACTCTGGTCGTACGTGTACTTAGATAAACAACGGTTAACCATTAAACCTGGATAGTGGAAAGAAAAAATCATTTCATTAACACTCTTTGCTGTTTAAGGCAAAGTATTATTAATCCTAATCTTGCCTATTAATCAAGAGATTCGAAGCATGCTTCTAGTGTAAACCTGTGAGATAAAAATAAATTGTCTAATGCTGCTTATAATTCTGAAGTAGTGTGATTTTTTATATTGTTATATAATAGTTGATTTATGTGACTAATGACCTTGTTAATGTCGTGATAGAGACAATTTCTTTAAAACACATCATGATTTAATAATCGCTATGACACAAAAAAACGCAAAAAATATATTTTCCAAGTAAATTGTTGAACTGCGCTTTGTTTTTTATATAATTTGTTAATTCGTTAATTAAAAAAGCAAGGTGTCAGTTTAAACATTTAATTGTTTTTCTGATTCGCCAAGAAAGAAAGGTATATCATTAGTCACCATAGTCTAAAATACAGAGTAAAGTTAAAATCCAAATTTCAATCTCGTATATTTCAAGAGACTGCTAAAACAATTTCGTTAAAAAAAACATATATATAAAGTACATATACAGTTGCAATTAAGACGTCAAAAATTAATGACCTAATAAGTGCTTCAAGTATCTCACAGAATATTCATTCAACATACCAAGCACTTAAAGAAAGTAGAAAACACCGCATCTGTAAAAAATCCAAAAACATGTTTACATGGTAACTGCTCGCTAGAAAACATAATGCTTATATCTGCAGCCAATGTATGACAGAAATATATGAGCAGCAAGAACTATAAAAGTTTTATCAGCGGCTTATGTGGTTATTAACTAATCTCTAGTGTTTTACAGCTGCGGGTGACTTAAGCATGATTCTATAAAAACACAAATCATATATAATTAGTAAATCATCAGCTTTCATCTGGTTGTTGTGTTTCATGTTCTAAAACTTGATATTATATATATACGAGAGCACTGCGAATTTTAGCGAAATCGTTTACTTCCATGAACTCTCTCTAAATTACACCTGTATTCTATGTATGTCAAAACTGCAGCTTTTAGATCTATACTGATGAACTGGCTGAAACTGGTTTATAAGAATGTAATAGAATGCAATGTAACAATAAAATCATTAAGTTTTAGTTTTGTGGCCGGGTATGTTATCTAGTAGTTAACAAGCCGGGCTTCTATTCAGAAAACACAAAGTTCGAGTCGATGTATGCGGTTGAACATGTATGGCACTTTCAACTTTGGGGCATTATAGCCGTGTAGGCAGTAAATGTTGCTAACTGCCTCAACCTTGAGGTCTGTGACTGGCCTGTTGACGGTTAGGTTAAAAATATAAACATACATTATCTCTATCTTTTTTTAGAGATTGATATTCATCGTTAAGGTAGTAACCTAAGTATGTTCACAAAAACTGTAAATCGAATCAAAATATTCAGATTTGAATGACACATGTATAAAGGAAATGATTATTAACTATATTTTTGTATGTTAAGTTGGGTGGTTAGTAGATCAAGAAACAATAACATAACTTTCTAAAAGCTATTCTGTTAAACTGTAACAAACTAATGTTAGCAATACTTTCTATATATATTTACACGTTGTGTCTTATTTAACTAACAAGCAATACTTTCTATATATATTTACACGTTGTGTCTTGTTTAACTAACAAACTAATGTTAACAATACTTTCTATGTATATTTACACGTTGTGTCTTGTTTAACTAACAAACTAATGTTAACAATACTTTCTATGTATATTTACACGTTGTGTCTTGTTTAACTAACAAGCAATACTTTCTATATATATTTACACGTTGTGTCTTGTTTAACTAACAAACTAATGTTAGCAATACTTTCTATGTATATTTACACGTTGTGTCTTGTTTAACTAACAAACTAATGTTAACAATACTTTCTATGTATATT